GCGGGTGACGGCGTTCGACCCTTCGACGGGCCGAATCGCCCTCACGCGAGGGGCGTCCTCGTCGGGATGGGGGCTTCGTTTCGACGACGACGGCCGCCTCGTTGGGGTCGACGAGGCCCTTCGCGAGGGCAGCGACGCCGGCGCGCGGCTTTACGACGCCCTGCGAGGGACCCCCCCCAACGCGGGGATGGCCGTCGTGGAGGTGAACCACCGCCGCATCCGCGCGGCGAGCCTCAGCCCTGAGGAGGTGGAATCGAAACGGTGGGAGATTCTCGCCCGCCTCACGGAGGGCCTCCGCGGCGACGATCCAACCCTGCAGATGGTGGTGGAAACGAAGCCCCAGGCGGGGCTCCCTGCCGTGCGGGAGGTTTTCTTTGAAACCATCCGGCAGGGTGGCGAGCGGGGGGTGCTCATCCTGGAGCGACCTGCCACAACGATCCCGTGGGGGCTCCAACTCACCGCGCCCCCAGACACGCCGCCACTTCTCACGAACTTCTCGGATAAACTGCAGCTCTCGAAGAAGGCAAAAAATTTCCTCTTCGACCACCGCGGGCGATTGCGGGTGGTGAGCGTGAACTACCGAGATACGCATCGGCATTTTACGACGGAGCAGCTAAAGCAGTACATGTCGGTATCGCTTCTTCTTGCGCTCTCGCTGGAGGTGGCGGACCCGCCAAGCGAAGGGCTCGAGGGTGCGTCTTTCTTTGGCGATGAGCGGGATTCCAACGAGGCTGCAAAGGACCCGGCGAGTTCCCTGGGCGCCGGAGAAGCCTATAAGACGCGGACGAAGGCAGATGAAAGGGTCGACCAGATTCGATTAGACCATGAGGAGACGACGGAGGAGTCGGCTGGCGACGTTATTGATCGCGATACGAACCTTGTTGGAGACAAGAAAGGCCTGGGAGACGTGGATGCTCCCGACCCTGAGGTGGATGATTGGACAACCCCCAAAGATTCGCTGTCTGAGCAGCAAGACAACACCTTGGAAGACACGCAAAACGGATCCCCTGAGTACGATGCGGAGCCTGAGGAGTATGATAGTTTGGAAGCTGAGCTAGAGTCCCCCTCCGCTGCGGAGGATTTAGATGAGACGAGGGGGGTTCCTGATGAAGGCTTGTCGGGGAAAAGTGACTCTGCTGAGCTTCAGGGTGCGGAAACAGAAGAGACAAGCCCGGAAGAGGGCGTTTCAGCCCCGAAATCAAATTCAAAGAAAGATAAAGTGACATCCAAAAAAGATAAAAAGTCGAAGAAAACTCCCAAAAGTAAGAAAAAATCATCCACGAACGAGCGCAAAAAGAGCTCGAAGAGAGGGGAGGCAACGACTTCGGAGGATGAGAATGATGCTATCGATGAAGATGGAATCAGTCGCGAGGAAATAGATGAAGCCATAGAACCGTCAGGCGTGGGGAATCCCAAGACCCTCAACGACCGCAACGCGGCAGCCGACACGCCGTTACTCGAGCCGAAACCAACTTCCGCGGAAATTGCCATGCGGGTAGCCGAAGAAGCCCGCCACAACGCCAGTGATTCCCACAAGACAAAGAAGAGTAAATCCTCCAAAGATCCCCTTCCAGAGGCCTCGGAGCGGGGTGCAGCTCCTGGCGAGGATGCACCTTTGGTGGATTCGTTGAAAACCTCTGCGGAGGTGGCGATGGAGGCTGCGGGAAGGGGGGGTGTAAACGGCGAGATGCCGGCCGTTACCCCCTCCGCACCTTCCGACGTGGCGACGGCAGAGAATGCCTCCGTTTCCATCACACAGCTGCTCGCAACGCCCCCGCTGCGGTTTGACAACGACGTGATCGCGAACAAATTCGACGGTACGATGCTGGAGCTCTCTCGGCCATCCACTGAGGTGCCGTGGAACATCAAAATGGCGTTTGTTGGAGACGAGGTTTTGCTGTCGAAGCTGCCGTCCGTCGGGAATGAGCGGAAGGATCATCCCTATCTCAGGTATCTTGGCGCGATGCCGGACGGCAACGTGCGGTGCATGGTGGAATCCATGAATGGGGTCGACCTACTGGTGGCTAGCAAGTTAGAAAAGACGAAGCTAATGGACACAGTGAAGAAGAGCACAAAGTTATCTATGATTCTGAAAGTATTACGTTAATTTGGTAGTCTTCTTTCCATGATGCTAGTCTAGCTCCGTGCGTAAGGAACGGTAAGAGGCAGAGGGAAAGAGGTATGTGATGTAGAAGCACTTCTTACCCGAGTGCTTCTTGCTTCCATGCATTTACAGTATACGGCGAATATCGAATGCAATGCTTGATAAGCTTAGATGCATCAAGGATTAGATGTTCATAGAAATAACTAATAAATAATTTGGTGTGTATTGATCCTTAGTAATAGATCGCATATAGTACTATTCATCGATTAAATCCCTTTCGCTTTGGCTATTGCCTCTGTGGTATATTAGAATAGTCTGACGTAGACTCGATGCGTTTTCCAACTTTCCACTCCTTAAATACAGTAGGGGATACGTATTCTTTGCTCTAATTAGGGAAACTCCTTTTAGTGTGTAGTTGTTTGTTCGATCACTACTTCTCCTGACCCTCTTCCTTTCTATCAGACAGCCCTACTGAAGTCATAGACAATTTTAGACCTTTCAATAATTACAAAGGGAACTATTGAATCTTCAGTGTGAGTTGAGTGCCCTCTCATAGCTTAAAGGGCACATCAACCACTCATATCTTGGCATTAGGTGTGTGCGTGAGTTCGTGAGATTCGCTTGACTTTTGTGTTTCTTTTGCTTGTCTCCTCCATTGCAATCAGCACATACCGCTTTTTGCCAGTGCTTATCTCTCCTTTTCCCCAATCTCCTTGCAACGCACCTCACCTCATGTTTTCGAGTAGTCGTGTGGGGCGGACGCTTAGATTAGTATCCCTCACGTTGGTGGAGTCCCCGGCCGCGGGTACGGCATCGCTCAACCTGAATCTCTCTCGTTCCAACCAAGCGCTCGCCTACGGCTTCAAACTCAAAGCCGATGCCGCTTCTGACGGTGCTACGACTGCTCCATTGCGTTACCGTTTAGTTGAAATACCGCCGTTTTTGGGTGACGCGTCGCGTACGGTAGCCGCGCTTTTTCCACGTTCGCGTATTCCTGAAGGGGGTGCGGTGTATCTCAGCGCGGTGAATGGCTTCTCAGCGATAGACGCCAAGGGCATGATGCGCGCGCTCGTGGAGGGAAAGGACCATGCAGTGCAGCTCACCGTTGAGGGGATGTCAACGCTGCGCAAAGCGCGCGGCAGAAAATCAGTAGAGGAGACCGCCGGTGATGTGGAAACGGTGGTGCCAGCAGCAGAATTGGAACGGAAAGCGGAAGGGAAGCCCGCTAAAAGGGGCCGGAAGAAAATAATGAAGGCAAAAACTAAGTTGAAGGAGCGAAAGTCACGCAAAACGGCACCGGCTGAAGTCGCCGAAGATGCAGCCGAGGCGAACAAGACGACCTCTGATGGGATTGACGACAGCATCGCCAAAATAACCGCAGAGATGCTGGGTAACCGCAGTTCTAACACTGACGCAAGTGCGGATGAGGGTGGTGAACGTTCCATCCCCAAAGCGCCCAAAGAACGAAAGGTAAGGCCCTCAAAACGTGAGAGCACGGGGAGGAAAGGGAAGGACGAAGAAAACGCGCCTGACGAGATGTCGCCCACGGCCGCGGTCGATTCCCATAAGGCCTCACCCAAAGCGGAGGCCATCGACGGCTGGGCCGGCAACCCCCTCCTAGACAGCACCGCAGCCATCATTCAGCTCACTCAGAGGCTCTCCACGCTTGTCCCGCCCGATGAGGTTGAAGGCGTGGAGGACAATTCTAAGGGCAAGGCGTCCCGTAAATGGAAAGCGGTGGGTCAGCCGCCGGAGCAGGCCAAGGCTGAGCTTGACGAGCTGGACTCCAAGGCTGACGAGGGGAAGACACGTGACAAGAAAAAATCACGTGACAAGCAGAAAGCGAGTGATATAGAGAAGACGAGGGACAAAGGGAAGGCGCGTGACCAAGAGAAGAAGAGTGTCAAGAAGCGCGTGGGCTCCTTGAAGAAGACAGAGTCCCGCCGCGCAACGGGCGATGACGGCGAGAAGGGTTTAGATGCTACTATGAGTGCAGTGCCGGTCGGGGGGCGCGGCGCCAAGGCTCGTACTTACACCGCCGACGCGGAAGAACTTGACAGTAGTGGATCGTTTACCCTGGAGTTATAGATTGCTGCTTTTTTTTATGCGGTACATGATCATTGATGGGTTGTGGAAGCTCACGTCTATGCCCATCGTCTAGGATTTATTTGCATTGTATAACCAATAGACATACGTTAATTGTTAATATAGATTAATAGAGTTGTTCATTTATCTTTTCCGTTTAAGCTTTGTCTCATTTGTAGCTCTCTTTTGCGCCTATGTTATGAAGATTCTCTGTAATAGTACTGTTTTTATTAGCGCAGGGTGCATAAATTTATCGATATAGAGTAGTAAATTTCGAAATATTATATAAAAGGACAAAGGATGTGTGTATATTGAACTTCATGATTAAAATCATATATATATATATTAACTGATCAAAGCCGCATAGCGCTGAGTCACCCCACATTTGGGTATTCCTGCTATCTCTTACATATTCGCGTACATTAAAAAAGAAGTGGTAGAAGGTGGGATGAAATTCCTATCAGTAGTTTCCACAATAGTACAGATTGAACGATTGCAAGACAGTGTGAAGGGTTTTTAATTATTTTTTGGATGTTCCATATCTTCGATACTTTGCACTCATTTACTCTCTATAATGATGCTACTACGAGTAGTAATATTATTAATTCTATAGTATTATAACAAGCATAGAGTGAGGAACAACTTGTAAAATTATTTATTAATATATAGAGATAGATTGCCTGCTGAGCAATCTCTGCAACGACTGCTACGAGGCAAATTGAAAGGCTTTCTTATCGTTTTTCTTTTCCCACCGCGATGACAATTACGTCTCCATCCGGTAATGTCAACGCTGGTGATACGGATATACCCAGCGCGGCGCGTTTGGCGCACACCCTCGCCCGCCTCCGGGGGTGCCGTGAGCCTGCCGAGCTGATTTACCGTAAGGAGGGCCCCCCGTTATTTTCCGACGAGCACCCCTTCGCTGCGTCGACGGACTACTCCGTGGTTGTTGCGCGCCGCATTGCCATTCTCGTGGGGCGTTTGAGCGCGCTTTCGGATCCCGCGGTTCAGGCGGTTCGCACGCCGCGTGAGATCCTGCTGGCGCTGATGGAGGTCGTCCGCGAGGCGTTGAGGACGGTGATGCCCCCCCTTTCTTTGCAG